GGTAGCGGCCACGGAATATGCGTCGGACGCAACACTTTTAGCGACCAAGTTTTCAGCCAAGGCAATGGCGGCAAACAACACGAGCAGGCGCATCCTCTGGCTAAAGAACTGGCAGGCGGATACCAAATCCAAGTGGAAATTGGCTTCGGCTCCGTACCAAGGGGCAAAGCTGTTTGGTGAGGCACTAACGCCATACCTGACAGAGAACAAGGACAAGCGCAAGGTCCTTAAACACATGCTTAAAAGGCAGGACAAGAGACCCGGCTCCTGGGGAAGGAAACAATCCTTTCGTACGGAAGCCAGGGTCAACTACTTTCAAAATTCCCAACCCTTCCAAGCTAGACAGGATAGGGAAAGACAGGGGGACAGACAGAACACAAGACATAGGCAAACACAGGGAAGACGGCCCTTTCGGGGGAACAACCGCCCCTTCCGCCGTACCAGATGACTCCCGCCCAGACCTTCCCATAGGGGGCAGACTAACAGGGTTTGCTCCCCAGTGGGAAGAGACCACCACGGACGTATGGGTCAGGAACACCATACGTCATGGTCTATCTCTAGAATTTCTCTCAAAGCCCCCGAACCGCTTCCGCCCGTGCCCCTGTCCCACAAACCCAACAAAGAGAAGGCTCATGAACGAGGCCGTTCAGCACCTTCTAAACATACGGGCCGTAGAGCCGGTGCCTATGAACCAGAGAGACCAGGGGTTTTATTCTATCCTCTTCGTGGTCCCAAAACCCTCGGGGGGTTGGAGAGCCGTTTTGGATTTGAAAAGGCTAAATTTCTACATAAAATACCGCAAATTCAAAATGCAGACACTACGCTCCATCCTTGGAAGCGTAAGGAAAGGGGATTTTCTGGCATCGATCGACCTCACGGAGGCATACTTGCACATCCCTATCTCTCTGGCTCACCGCCGCTTTCTACGGTTTGCCTACAGGGGGCACCATTTTCAATACAGGGCACTTCCATTCGGCCTGTCATCAGCGCCCAGGGTGTTCACCAAGATTCTGGCGGTTCTGGCAGCACAACTAAGAAACGTACCAGTCAGAGTCCAGTGCTACCTGGACGATATTCTAATCCAGTCATCGTCCGCCCAGCAGTCTCGGGCGGACCTAAAGTTAGTGATAAAAATGCTGCAGGACCACGGCTTCTCGGTGAACTTTCCAAAGAGCCATCTAACCCCAACTACGAGAATACTCCACCTGGGAGCGGTCATAGACACAAAGGAATGCAAGGTGTACCTATCACAGGAACGCCTCAGCAGCATAAAGAAAGCCGTAAAACAGGTAAGCCGCGGTCAGTCAGTGACGCTGGTCTGCCTTTCCCAGCTGCTAGGGAAGATGATATCGACCATAGCAATAGTTCCTTGGGCAAGGCTGCACTCAAGAGAACTGCAATGGTTCATGCTCCCGTTTCAGAGACAACAAATCAGTGCATCCCGGAAGAGGGTAGGCATACCTCTGAGAGTACGACACTCCCTCAGGTGGTGGCTATCTCCAGCTCTCCTCAGGGGGTCCCCCTTCAGGGAACCAGACAGAGTAGTAGTCACAACAGATGCGAGCTTATTCGGCTGGGGAGGCCACTTGGGGACCAAGTGGACACAGGGCCGCTGGTCAGCGGTGGATCTCCGACACAACATAAACTGGCTCGAGCTGCGGGCTATTCACCTAGCGTTAAGGCATTTTCACAGCAGCATAAAAGGCAGGCACGTACTGGTCCTGACGGACAACGTGACAGCCAAGGCCCACATAAACCGTCAGGGGGGCACACACTCTCGCTCGCTCTCGGCCGAGGCCCTCCTACTGGGGGCCTGGGCGGAACAAAATCTGGCCTCCATAAAGGCCGACCACATATCGGGGGAGGCAAACATCCAAGCAGATCTGTTGAGCAGATCAACAATAGATCACTCGGAGTGGCAACTACACCCGAGGATCTTCAGGGAGGTCTGTCACCGCTTCGGGCTTCCCCAGGTGGACCTTTTTGCCTCTCCTTCCAATGCCCACCTAACTCGCTTCTTCTCCCGATTCCCATCCAAGGGAGCAGAGCAGACGGACGCGTTACGGAGCCCATGGCCAAGGGGGCTCCTGTACGCGTTTCCACCCTTACCTCTCCTTCCGGCGGTAGTACGCAAGATTCTGCGGGAAAGGGCCGAGGTAATCCTTGTGGCCCCTTATTGGCCAAGGAGACCTTGGTTCGCAGACTTGAGGAGTCTCTCCCGCACGAATCCATGGCGGATTCCTCCGGAGAGGATCTCCCTCAAGCAGGGGGAGATCTCCCACCCAGAGCCACAATGGCTACAACTAGCCGTCTGGCTCTTGAACGGTCAATTTTAGCCAAGGGGGCTTGCTCACAGGGTGTAATTAGGGTCATACAGGCATCAAGGCGCCCCTCCACGAACCGTATCTACGAGGCCACGTGGAGAAGCTTCCAATCATGGTGCTCTAAACAGGAATTGTTACTCGAAGGGATCACAATTCCCAAGATCCTAGAATTTTTACTAGATGGCCTAGAGAGGGACCTCTCGCCAAACACACTGCGCAGGCAAATCGCCGCCCTCTCAACTATACTTTCTGCCAGCCCCGGTGAATCCTTGGGCAAGCATCCCTTAATACGATCCTTCCTCAAGGGGGCTGCAAACATCAGACCGCCAACCGTGCACAGGTATCCATCGTGGGAACTACCACGAGTACTACAAGCTCTTACCAGAGCGCCCTTCGAACCACTCAAAACATGTGACATTCGCTATCTGACCCATAAGGTAGCATTCTTGGTAGCCATCACGTCAGCTCGGCGGATATCCGAGTTAGCTTCTCTCTCAATGAGGAAGGACCTGTGCCATTTTCACAGGGACAAGGTAGTCCTAAGAATAGACTCTTCATTCCAAAGGTCAACTCCCTTTTTCACAGATCACAGGAAATAGTCCTACCAGACTTCTGTCCAAACCCAGCTCATCCCCTGGAACAACAATGGCACACCTTGGACGTACGCAGGGCACTAAGACATTACATTTCACGCACAGCGGAATTCCGACGCTCGGAAGCGCTTTTCATATCCTTCCACCCTGCTACTAGGGGCCGGAAGGTCTCGTCCTCTACCATCGGTAGGTGGATTAGGGCATGCATCACGGGGGCATACCAGGCGGAGTCCTTGCAAGTCCCCAAGCATATCACAGCCCATTCCACAAGGAGTGCTGCCACCTCAGCAGCATGGGCCATGCAGGCTTCTATTGAAGAGGTATGCAGGGCAGCCACTTGGGCCTCGCCCTCTCCATTCATTCGTCATTACAAAATCGACAGGTACTCCTCTGCAGAGGCCTCCTTCGGTAGGAGGGTTCTCCAGCAGGTGCTAGACCAAAGTTGCACACGGGACCAGTCTATTCCCCAACCCAAGGGACAATAGGCTTTGGTATGTCCCACTGCGTGGATTATCCATCTCCAGTGCTGGAGAAGGGGCGTTGACTTACCTGAACGCCTTTTCTCAGCACGGAGATGGATAATCCACACCCACCCTTATAGACTAGAATAATAGGGTATATTTAGTGGAGCCAAAACGTCTTACTGTCAGTCAATGGCTGCGCTCGAGTCAAGACTAAAGGATCATGGTCCAAGACGGGGCGTGGCAACTTTGGCTGACTGATCTGATTGGCCAGGAATACAGTCTCAACCCACTGCGTGGATTATCCATCTCCGTGCTGAGAAAAGGCGTTCAGGTAAGTCAACGCCCCTTTTCTTTTTCTTTTGGGCTGACAGGGTGTACATTCAAGGTATATATATATATAATTAGATGATTTAATATGGAAATAGGTAACTTTTAGGAAATAGAACAAGATTATATTTAAATAGATAAAATGTATATTTTGCATATTAGATTCTGGTATGAATTGAGATAAAGGAAATCTTGGTTACCTAAAGCCTGAAAATTATAAATATCAAAGGTTAAATTGAATATTGATGGGAAACTAAAAATTGGGAAAAAATAACAGGATATGGGTTGTTTATGAAGATTGAATGTAAAAAATAATTAAGATATATATAAGCTAAAATTTATTGATAAATGTAATGATGATGTTTTTACTGATTTGATATAATAAGAATTGTATTAGCTTAAATACAAGACAGTAAATCAGTGGTTCTCAACCTGTGGGTCGGGACCCCATTTGGGGTCAAATGACCATTTCACAGGGGTCGCCAAACCATGCTGTCCGCCATTTTTTTCCCTTTTCCCTAGCTATCCTACTCCCTCTTATTGGTGGCCACACCCACTTGGGGGTCACCACAACATGGGGAACTGTATTATGGGGTCATGGCATTAGAAAGGTTGAGAATCACTGCAGTAAATGTTAAGAGAAAAAGAGAGGAAATATCTGAGGTTGTAACTTGAGATTTATACTAAAGATTTTGTTATCAAACTATTGATTAATCCAGCCACCACGTTGCTTTTTAAATACTTAAATGTAAAATTGGGAAATTAATAAAATATTATATAAAAAAACCAAGGGCAAGACTCTGTATTTTAAATGCTGACTAAAGTTTCATTTTCATCCTCAAGGTTTGACATAGTTATATTAATAACTAGGATCCATCCTGGAATCTCCAAATCGAGAAAAATGATATTGACTATGTTTATCTTGTCATAGCCTTGTGTCAAGATCAAGCATAGGAAAAAGATCTTTGATGTAGAATCTCAATATATAATATAATATAATATATTCTCAGAATATAATAAACTCTCACTAAGGTACATTTGGTTCATAGCAATGCACACTTCAAAATAGCATTTATTAGACCAGTTTATAAGCAATAAATGTTGGTGAATACTTACATTGCGATACACCATCAACAGAACTGGATGGAAAATATAGTGAAATTCCTTATGTGGCAAGGCTCAATCCATGTAGCTATGGTAGCTTTGAAATGTGAACTATATTCTATTGCATTGCAACTTCTGTCAAGACAAATGTAAAGAGTTACTCATCCCACTTCTAATCCCATTTTCAGGATGGACTGGGGAATTTTATGCTCCATTTTTATTGGCAGATAAGGACCCCCAGGTAATTCTTACCTTTGCAAATTTTGTTTTTGCAGCTTGTAAAACTTGCAGAAGACTCTGTGTGGTGTAGCGGTTAAGACATCAGGCCAGAAATTGGGAGACTTGAGTTCTAGTCCAGCCTGACATGTCTGAACATAATTTTAAAAAAGCTTGCGCACTGTTGATAGCAAAATAGTGCAAACATTTGTGTATTTTTAAATCTTGTATGCCTTACTTTTACTTTTGTAGATTTTATTTAGTAAGTCTTGTTTAATCTGGGTCACTGGTGTGTAATACAGATTTTGATGTAGAAATCAAGAAACTATTCATATGACATATAAATAAAGTAGCATCTTGTTGATTAGATGTGCAACTTGTCTTAAAACCACAGTGCTATAGCAGAATAATTGCCCTTTATGCAAGTGTGCCCAGTGTTCTTGCTTTGTATAACGGAAGTGGTACATAAACAAACGGTGTACTATTTGAAACAGTTCTAGGAAAGAACTGTTACTAATGTTGGCAAGGAAAGTTTATCAAAGTTCTGTTCCTCAGGCTCTTTAGTTCAAAGTATCTGTCAGATGTTTTCTTCTTTGCTTCCTCTTTTACCACTTCATGCAAACTTAAAAATTTATGGGAAAATATTTTCAACGTCTTTGTGAAATCTCTACCAAAATTCAGAGTCAAAAAAATTTGTATGGCAGTGTGAATATGAATGAATATATATGTATTCATGAAGAGAGTTTAATTCGTAGTATTTTGAGATGAGACAGAATTTGGCAGCAAAGATCTCTGCCTAAATCAGTGGTTCTCAACATTTCTAATGCCGTGACCCCATAATACAGTTCCCCATGTTGTGGTGACCCCCCAACCACTTATATATCACCGGGTGCCAGAGCCGTGGCCAAAGAAAAGGGGGAAAAATGGTGGACAGCCTTGTTTGGCGACCCCCGTGAAATGGTCGTTTGACCCCAAATGGGGTCCCGACCCACAGGTTGAGAACCACTGGCCTAAATCCATGGAAACCATGCCTTGCATTCTAAGAAAAGTTGAAGAAAAGTTGCTGATTGAATGGATTACCCTTTTTCAGTCTGCAGCCTCCCAAATCTCTCCTCTGATCGGAAACAAATTTGGGAATATATAGAATATGTGTGAAGAGGAACAGCTCTGTTGCCTCATATATTGAATAAAGACCTTAACGTTATTGGGATTGGTGAACTAATTATTTTTTTCATATGAATCATTAAAAACAAGTTAGCCTGAATAAAAATGATGAATTAAAAACATACCTATTATTCTTCACTTATGAAAATATCAAATTCCTTAGCCTCATTGGGCAGGGCAAAAAACCCAAAACCCACCACCACATCCGCCTCCTCCTCCTGCTGAAAAAAAAAAGCTGCTGAAATATTGGGCTCTTTCAATATTTACCACATTGTCAGAAGCTGAATAACAAATATGTCAAATGCTCCTGCAGACTGGTTGCATGTATGTAGGATCTGTCCTGATGCCCAACAAAGCAATTACATTTACTTTGAAACAAAAAAAGGGCCTAATGATAGGATCAGTATTCACTTCTTTTTCAGCATACTTTTAGGAATGGAGAATTGATTTGTTATAAGCCAGTCAATAAAAGCTCTAGATTATTTAATCCACAGTGAAAGTAACAGTGAAATCATAAAATAGTGATGCTTTCTTAAGGATAAAACAGTACCCTGGACCCAGGCTATGGAAACCACATCATATGTTAAATCTCTATTTTTCTTAGTTAAAGAGTAACTAAGCCTGAGAATTTAGTTTCAGAGTAAACTGAAAGCAAACAAGATTGTTGTCACAAGGAAAAAACTATTTTAGTTTCCTAGGGACTTAATTCAGGCGGTCGTTATGCGAAGGCCATGAGAGAAATAATACTTGGGGAATATTTAAATAGCACCCTGAATTCAGGGCTAGTTCTTAGTTTTTCAATTCAAAAAGTAATCTTGTGATTTTGTATGAGTAAGTATTAGCAAATGCAGTATTGTGACTTCATTTTAGTGGTGGTCCAAGAACATTGTAATGGGGTTTTTACTTTGAATGATTAAGTTTCCATTTAATTGAATTATTGAAAAGAGAAATTAATACCCTTTTTCTTCTCTTACCTGTTTTGTAGACAAGATCCCGCCCCCCCCCAGAAGCAAAGATGATTAATCTGGGAACAGAATTATAATGGTAAATATTCTCCTACTTTACAAATCTCAAGTTATAACCTCAGATATTTCCTCTCTTTTTCTCTTAACATTTACTGTTTCGTATTTAAGCTAATACAATTCTTATTATACCAACTCAGTAAAAACATAATTATTACATTTATCAATAAATTTTAGCTTATATGTATCTTAATTATTTTTTACATTCAATTTAGAAGAATTTATCTTAACTTATTATTGGAATAATCTTCTTATGCATCTGGGTTAATAAAGGATGAAAGAAAAGCTGTTGAGACAGGATTTTAAGAGCAGTGCATCACAGAAAAAGAGATCATGTTTTAAAAGCATTCTAAGTAATCAGCTATTTGTGTCACATGTCCCTCCAAATTTTGCTTTTCACTTTTATATTTACAACATACTCATTTGCACAGTTATAAAAACTAGATTTATTTATTTATTTATGAGACTTATATACTGCTTTAAGTGCAAGCACTCTCTAAGCGGTGTACACCAGTAAGCAATGTATATATATTTTACATTGCCCCCAACAATCTGGGTCCTCATTTTACCTACCTCGGAAGGATGGAAGGCTTGAGCCGGTGAGATTTGAACCGCTGACTTGCTGAACACAGTCAGCTAAACTGGCCTGCAGTACTGCACTCTAACTGCTGCGCCACCTCGGCTCAAGATTAACTTTCAGGTAAGGTTAGATTTTTCAGATATGGCTATTAGGCTAGTATCCATCCATTTATTTGTCCATATACTGGGATTATTCCTGCATAGGAGTCGCAGAGTTCTTGGTGACTCCCACTGATATTTTTGAGGATGAAGAAAAAGAAATACACTATAAAGCTTTATTCTGATAGAGAACAATTCAATTCAATTTGTCTCTCTCAGTATAATATAATTTGGAAGTCAGGAGGAGCAAACAGCTGAAGGGGATTTATGTTGCTTCTAAATATGGTTATCTTAAAAGAATCTTTGTTTCATATGTGAGGGAGGGAAAGAAATACCACTTCCTTAAAAGAAAATGCATAAGTTAGTGTTTACATCTGTATTCAAATGTTATTTACAGTTTTTAAATGTGTTGCCAGATTAATTGGGGCAACCCTTAATTTGGCAAAGTGTGTGTGTGTGTGTGCGTGTGTGTGTATGTGTGTGTGTGTGTGAGACAAACGATGTATGATCCTGAAATAACATTTTAAACTATAAGGGAGAAGCGGTGATGAATCAGCATGAATGGTATGAAAAATTCAGTATGTCTAAAAATAAACTAAGATATGAATTCCTGTCTTGTAAGCCAATGATATGCAAATGTTCTCTCTCTGATCTCCCTTAGATAATCACGATATAGCACAATAGATGTCATGGAGTGGTTCCTATTTGATCTAGCCAGGAGGACACTAGCTTGAAAGTGGTTAACACTGAAGCTAAGAAGATAGAGGGACTGAACGTGTAAATATGTAGTCTTTGCTTAACTATGTTACTTGGAACTGAAATTTCCATTACTAAGCAATACAGTTGTTAAGTGTGAAGTCATGTGACCATATTGGTTAGTGACAGGGCACTCTCTGTTGCTGTCGTTAAGTGAGAATTTCAGGTCATTAAGCAAGGATCTCCTTGCAACTTTCTGCTGGGTTCCAACACGGAAAGTCAGTGGTGAAGTTGACTGGAAGTCAAAAGTCCTGGTTAACTCATAAGCACTGAAACACGTGGCTGCCACTGAGTGGGGAGGATGTTTGGGTGGCTAGGATGAGCGTGGCAGGGATAGGTTGACTGCTGCTGGGTGAGAGAAGGTATGAGAATGGCTGGTGAGGCATAGTATGGGTGTGGGAGGGCCAAAGTAGTTGCTGCCAGGGTACTTGTGACCAACGTGGTTGCTGCTAGGGGTGGAGGGTGCAAGTGATTTATTGGAGTGACTTGTGACCTTCCATACCAGCTTCTCCATTGACTTTGCTTGTGGGAAGCTGTCAGAGAAGGTTGCAAATGGTGATCACATGACAGGACGCTTCAACTGTCCATAAGACTGTTAAATGTCTGCTGGTTGTGAAGTGCCTGAATCTTGACCATGGGGATGCTGTCACAGTCATAAGTACAAGGACTGGCCATAAAGTTGCTTTTTCAGCACTGTTGTATCTTTAGATGTTTGCCAAACAGGGCAATCTTTAGGTGAGGATTATATTTAAAGAAAAAAGGATATGACTTTACTTAGTTAATCTTGATTGTGACTGGATGAACACATAGACTGGATGTTACAGAGTCAAAAAGCCTATTTATCAAAAAGGACTCTCTGGACAAATATATTAACTTTTGTTTCTTGTTTTTTTTTTTCACTTCATTAATGCTTTAACAGTTCATCAACCTGAGCCCAGAAAAAAAAAGTCACAAAATAGAGCCGCAATTTGGAAACATATACAGGTGGTCCTCGACTTACAACCACAACTGAGCCCAAAATTTCTGTTATTAACTGAGACATTCATTGAATAAGTTTTGCCCCATTGTACAATCTTCCTTGCCACAGTTGTTAAGTGAATCATTGCAGTTGATAAATTAATAATTTGGTTGATAAGTGAATCTGGCTTCCCTATGGACTTTGCTTGTCAGAAGATCACCTGACCTTGGGATACAGCAATGGTCATAAGTATGAACACGTTGCCAAGCTTCTGAATTTTGATCACATGGTCATAGTTATGCTACAAAGGTCACAACTGTGAAAAATGATCATAAATCACTTTTTCGTTGCTGTTGTAACTTTGAATGGTTACCAAATGAACTGTGGTAAGCCAAGGACTACCTGTATAAATCTACCTAGAACAGTGGTTCTCAACCTTCCTAATGCCACGACCCCTTAATACAGTTCCTTATGTTGTGGTGACCCCCAACCATAAAATTATTTTCATTGCTATTTCATAACTGTAATTTTGCTACTGTTATGAATCGCAATGTAAATATCTGATATGCAGGATGTATTTGCATTGAACATAAAGCATAGTGATTAATCACAAAAACAATATGTAATTATATATTGTTAAATATTTATTTTTAATTACAAAAAAATGAAATTTTGTCTTGAAGCATGGTCGAGCATGGGTAACAGTCTTAATATAACAACAGTAAACTACATTGCTACATTTTTCAACAGTATGCGTAAAAAGCCAACATCAGTGCAAAGGTTGAGATTGCTTCTTTTTCACCAGATCAGAAATTCTCAGGGCAGTCTTTCCAAGAGCACAACGAAGATCAACTCTACTATCCTGGGAAAGAAACCAGGCTCATGCAAGTCAGATTTTTAGCCAGAGATCTGAGACCATGAGAAACCACAAGTCCATATTTAGGTGGCCACATAACTGAGTATTCATCATGATTTGGGAGCCCAAGATGCACCACCCAACCTCAGGGAGTGTAGGCAGAATCTGCCCAATATTTGCTGAAATACATTGCACTCAGATTTCATTCTGGGAATGAAATATTAAAAAGGAAAAGAGCAGAAGAAATAAACTTTTATTCCCCATTTCCATAACATGTAATTAAGCACTTCAATAAAGTAATTACTCCATTATTTGAGTAGGCAATCAATTAAGAAATTGCACCATGTAAGGAAAGAAAAGAAAATTAAACAAAAGAAAAGAAAAGAAAAAGAAAAAGAAAGGGGACAAGAGGACAGGAAAGGACAGGACAGGACAAGGAACAAGAGAGGAGGAAAGGGGAGGGAGAGGAGAGGAGAAAAAGAAAAAAGGAAAGAAAAAAAAAAGAAAAGAAAGGGGAGAGGGGAGGGAAGGAGAGGAGATAACAGAATGGGAGAGGGGACAGGAGAGGGGGAGAAAGGGGGGGTAGAAGAAAGAAAAGAAAACTCTGCTTCTTGCGCGGAGCCGGCAATCGCGGAGCAAGACGTCCGTTCGGTGCGGCGGCAGGCAGGCCCAGGCGCTCCTGGGTGGCCATGGCAAGCGGCAGCGACGGCACAGGCTGACCACTGGCTGGGTCACCAGCTGGCCCAGCCCAAGGGAGGTAAGCCACCTGCCGGGCCCCATGCACGCCAGCTACCCTCCCAGTGCCTGCCGCTGCCCCGCTAGCCTTACCGTGGCCACCGCCCATTCGGTGCGGCGGCAGGCAGGCCCAGGTGCTCCTGGGCAGCCCTCCCACCCCTGGCCCTCTTTTACTTACATTTAGTAGTTGCTCAGCAGGGAGGGGTGGAAACTTCCAGAAAGCTCATCTTAGCTGCAGACAACTTGCAGCAATGTTTGCCAACTGGGACTTTTGGCAGGCTCAGCAGGGCAGAGACAGCCTGGACAATTCCTATTGGCTTTCGAACGCCAGTAGAATAGACTCGCTTGAATAGAGTCTATTCTATTGGCTTTCAAAAGCCAATAGAATAAGAGAGAGTAGCACAGCTCATGAAAAAGGGGGAAACAAACAAACAAACAAAAAATGCCGGACTGCATTTCATAAGGATTATATGAGGAAAAACTCCAGGACTTTGGCGACCCCTGTGAAATGGTCGTTCGACCCCAAAAGGGGTCGCGACCCACAGGTTGAGAACCGCTGGCCTAGAATCTAAAACAGAGTTTTAAAATTGTAAATATTTAATTTCAGTATTTTTGCCCTAGGAGAAATTAGTTACTGAGAACAACTCTTTTATTGCTATACCTAAAATGAATAAAACAATCCTTAGTAGAAGAAATTGTCAAGATTTTACTGTTGTGACAATTTTTAGTTAAGTTTTCCCAATTTTAAAAACCATTGATCCCAGAGCATTCCCAGGAAAAAAATTATAGTTTTTAGTATAAAATCTAGCTACCAAGTCCCCCTCCTCTAAGAATTAATAATTTATATTGCAACATTTCAAAAGACAAGGAATAAATAGAAAATTTGCCCAAGACTATTTAAGTAATTTTTTCCACTTCATCAAGCACTTGCCAAGAAAATGACTGAGTATTGCCATGTTATGCTCATGTGTAGTAATTTTATTAAACCTTTTCCAATACACGAGTTTTGTTTAATGTATTCTAATTTTAAAGGAATGAA